TCAACTACACACACGTATGATAGCAATAAAGCATTAACTTAGTATCCCAAAATAAGGATCAAAGTCAAAACATTGAGATTTCTTTCCTTGTCTCACTAGTAGGAGGTTTGCCACCCATCAGTAGACACCTTAATCATGAACCATAATGTTCTTTTTTCCAACCCCCAAGGTTATGTTTTCTAGCCCTAGTGTCTCATTTCAATACATATTTGATCATCAATATAATTCAAATAGCACATATCATGTAGCAATTAATGCACATAACATGTAATGCATAATTGATGCAATGGTCTAGACCCATGCCCCGCAAACCCTAGGTAAATCAAGAACCTAGGCTCTAATACCAAGCTGTGATACCCCAAAATTCAAGGGTCCTTTCTCAACCGTTGGTCACCCATCAACTCGCGGAAGTACCCGTGTATGGTGCATAATCTGGCACCACGTCATCACCCTACCATTCCAAGGTCTAATCTCCATCAATTTACACCTTATATTGTACCAATTACATTCTTTAAACAAGAAAACTCAAGGGCTGAAGGCTTGGTAACTTATATTTAAAGTTTTGAAAATTTTTGAAAGAGATACTGGTACTTCTTACATATGGTATTGATACCTGAGCCTTATGTCTGCCAAGTACCAGTACCTAAGTAACGGGGTACCGATACTTAGACCTTTATTTCTCAGGTTTCTTCCAGTCGTGAGGTACCAGTCCCAAGATGACGGGGTACCGGTACCCGAGCCCACTGTTTGCTAGGTTCTGGTATCTACATGTCGTAGTACCAGTACCTCAATCCACTGTCCATAGGAACACCAGTACCTGAAGCCTGGGTACTAGTACCTAGCTCATACAACTGCATGGTATCGGTCTCTAATCACCTTGGTACCCATACCAAGGCCTAGTTTTTCCCCAATTCTTTTCTATTTTCAATTTCAACTCATCCAATCTTTCCGAGTTCCTCCAAACTCAGATAACATGCAAACTTACACAAAATATAGTCCATATGAGTTCATTACACACTCCGTTATGCAACATCACAAGTCCAAAACTAATTATACAATTGTTTTACAAAAATGTAATTAAGAGCCACATTTCAAATTCTTCTCAACAAGGACCCATGTGAGAGCCATCCACCAGCGCTAGTTCCACACCTGAAATGTTGTCCTATAATGGGTGAGCCACACTAGTATCACCTAAAGAGGCTACTCCCCAACCTAGATGCATATGAAACATGCAATACAACAATCAATCAAACATTTATTCAAGAATATGCAATTCATATTGGATTATACAATGTCATGAGATGATACTCACACATGCAATGCAACTCGAGCCCTCCAACGACTCCCATAACACATGCAATGTTATGCGTATGCACCCGAGCATTCCAAACCCTCGCCATTGATTTTACGCATCCAATGACCATTTATAAATTCCAAGTCTTTCTTGGGTAGGTACATTCATGGTCTCACAACAACGGTTTACCATGTAGACATGACATTTGAGGCCTCACACCTTCGGTTCTGAGTATACCAACACACTTTTCTGGAATTTTACTTTCAACCAAGTGAGTGAACCAAGTAACCGGGTCTTGCACCATGAGGAAAAATCTATCCCTTCTTGCTATAACCAACCCTTGTTTTCAATTCAACTCATGCTACTCAATCGAACCTTGGTCCAACTTTCCTAAGTTAACGCATCATCCACAAAGAATGGTGTTTGATCAAACTATGCACACACTCACACTCATATTAAATGTCCATAAATGTGATGCAACCCGCGCATATACAACAGTAATGAACAATTGCATTTCATATGATTATGCAATTAATTTTTCAATTGCAATTACAACATCATGTTCAACGTGTCATGAGCACATTATGAACAATTCCAATGTCTATCTACATTTCCAAATCCTCAATGTAACTTGTATCATAAATCATATAATTATATTCTAAAATCTTCACAAAGCATGTTATATTAATTTCATTCAAATAACATGTTTATATCATTCAAGGTATTTTATCAAACACCCATATGGCACAAAATCATGTAAACACCTAATCATGCTCAAATTATCACATTTCTCATGAAATCATCAAACAAGCAATTTTAACAAACCCAATTAATGTTAGAATTGATTTTATACATTCTTATACCATTTTTCATACTCTAATTACACTAGGAGTATATTTGGACAAGAGATTTCATCTCTAATCATAGTACTCATTTCATATACAAATCCTAGGTTGAAAATAAACCTAGTTAGGAAAAAAACCATACTTCTTGAAGCATAATACTATGTGGTAGAAGCTTTAAAATACCCAAATCAAGCCTGAAGACTTTGACCCAAACAATCACTTTCTTGAGACTTTGGTGAAATCCGTAATTTTTGGTACGTGCTTGTAGCCCTCGTCGCATAAAACAACTTTTGTTCTTGGCACGAAGCAATTTGACGTATGGATAGTCATAGATCGTAAGGAGAAGTGAGGGATTTCTTGAGTTTTCTCTCTTTTCTTCTTCTTCTTCTTCAGCTTCTCTCTCTCTCTCTCTCTCTCTCTCTCTCTCTCTCTCTCTCTCTATCTAGAAAAATATGGGGTAAATGGGGAGAAAATCTGATTTGTGTTTCCTATTTATACTCTATAATACTTGGTCCACATTAAGCCACACGTCCTGTCTCTTTCTGATCTGATTTTATCTTGAATCAGTTAAATCTTGTCTCATATTATATTTAATATATTTTATTTGAACTAACTTTAAATTATTTCTCAGATTCCCTGAATAAAATTTGATTGTATTTATTTTAGTCACGCAACAATCGATCGCATCGTAAAACATGAAAATTTGACTTTCTCATAATTCAAAGAAAATTAATTGAGTAACTAGATTCTGCGAGACAAATCCAACGGTGAGATCCGTTTCGTTATCCGAGTTCTAAAAACATTTGGGTTCTCAACCCGTACCGGAACGGCTAATTAGTTTTTGCACTCCAACACTCCTAAGCCCTCATCTCTTGTGTTCCTTTCTTGCCCATTATCAACAAAACATTACAAAGTGATTAAAACCCTGTATTTACATCCTGATCACCTACAATCACACATTTCTCTATTAATCTCCAAAATTAAACTAAATTTCAATAAATCATTGTAAAACCAAGTTGAAATGAATGTAATGAGACCGTTTAATGTGAAATATTATGCACTCATTAACACACTAATACAAAAAAAAACATACTGACTAATACACCAAAAATACATACACACACATATACTAATACACCAAAAAAACTTATACATTATTTGAACACACATAGTAATAAACCAAAATACAAATTGGGTTAACACACACTAATATACAAAAATACACTCACACACACATAGTAATACACCAAAATACCCATTGTATTAACCCATACTAATATCAAAATAATAATAATAATAATAATAATAATAATAATAATAACACACATACACACACACTCTAATGCACCAAAAATTACACATTAAAACACAAAAAAATACACAAAACAAACACATGTACATATACTAAAAAAATATATACTAATACACTAAAATATATGCACATACTAATACACTAAAAATACACACGCACCCCCCTTCCCAGTGCATAAAAAATAAAACCCACACATACTAATAAACTAAAAACACACACAAACACCCATCCCAATATACGAAAAAAAAAAACACATAAACTAACACAAAAAAAAAATTGTACACTCAGGTATTAATGTAAAAAAATACACACCAATATACCAAAAAAATACACACCAATACATAAAAAATACACATACTAATAGGAAAAAAGCCTTACTCAGGCTTACACTAATACACTGAAAAAATACATATAGATACTAATACAACAAATACATACATACATACATACACAGTGTCAATACACACTAATATACCACCTCATACACACCTACACACTAATACCTCAAAATAAACACACACACACACATTAATACAAAAAAAGAAAAGAAGAAGAAGAAGAAGCACAAACACTAATATACCAAAAAAGTATATACAAACACTACTACAACAAAACAAATATACATATACATATTAATGCACCAAAAAAATATGCACACACACACTAATATACCAAACCAACATGTGTATGAGTTTTTTGGTAAATTAGTGTGTGATTTTTAGTATATTAGTGTGTTTTCATATATTAGTTTGCTTATTTGTTGTTTATAGCATATTAGTCTGTGTATCTTTTGGGTGTATTTATGTGTGATTATATCAATAGTTTTTATTATTTTGCAGGTTATGATCCATCTCATTACAACATATTTCTGAAAAAGGTTAAAAATGGATTGGTCATGTATTGCACTTAACCCATTATGCACCCACCTACCACAAACCGCCCAACTCTCATGTTTGCCACCTTTATCTAGTATATAAGTAAGAGTAATGTTATTAAAATTTAATTTAGATATCTAATTTAAAAATCCAATATATTGTAGTTATTGAATAAGAATCACATTGCAGCATTGAATAAAAATTTACTATCAATATAATGGTCATAATACATTAGGTTTTCAAATTAGTACAAGTAATATTATAATTTAATTTTTTTTGTTAAGATAACGAGGAATTACTTAATGTGAGGACCTTGCTTATATGTATTAGTTATGAAAGCAAAGGAAAACAGGAAAGGGTGACAATGATTTGGACTCTAGAAATGGAGACCTGCACAGAGAGAGAGAGAGAGAGAGAGTCAAAAAACTAAGAACCGAACCAAAGAAAGTGGGAGAGATAAAAGGAAGGCCGCACTACATCGAGGAAAACACTGATCGGTGAGTGCGGAGAATGAAGGGAATTCCAACGGTTTACATTTTGTCCCTCTTAACTTCCAACCGTTCATATAAGAAGGTCATGTTGGGTGAGAAGGCCCCGTTAAGAAACCAAAACATGCTCGTTTAGTCTCTCCCAAATCAAAACAAAAGCTCAAACACACTATAAAGAAAAGCGAGATGGGTACTCTGAAATTGATCCTCTTTTCACTAATATCACTCCTCTCCACATTAATGATGGTCCATGGTGAGGACCCCTACTTGTTTTTCACATGGAATGTTACCTATGGCACTCTCTCTCCTCTGGGTGTTCCACAGCAAGTAATGCTCATCAATGGTGGATTTCCAGGACCTGCTATCAACTGTTCTTCCAACAATAACATTGTTGTCAATGTATTCAACAACCTGGATGAGCCTCTTCTTTTCACTTGGAATGGCATTCAACAGAGAAAGAACTCATGGCAAGAAGGATTGCTAGGAACCAATTGCCCCATTCCCCCCGGTACAAACTACACCTATCACTTCCAGGTCAAGGACCAGATCGGAAGCTACTTCTACTACCCATCCACCATCTTGCACAGGGCGGCTGGTGGTTTTGGCGGCATCCGCGTGAACAGCCGGCTGCTTATCCCCGTCCCGTTTCTGGACCCTGAGGACGATTACCATGTCCTGGTTGGTGATTGGTACATTAAGAGCCACTCTGCCTTGAGGACGCTCCTCGACAGCGGCCGCACTCTGGCCAAACCTGATGGGGTTCTCATCAACGGCAAGGCCGGTAAGGGCAACGGAAAAGACGAACCCCAATTCACCATGCAACCTGGCAAGACCTACAGGTACAGATTCTGTAATGTTGGATTGAAAAACTCAATTAATGTGAGAATCCAAGGCCACATTATGAAACTAGTGGAGCTTGAAGGATCTCATACAGTCCAGAATGAGTATGAGTCCCTTGATGTGCACTTGGGGCAGTGCTACTCAGTTCTGGTAACTGCTGATCAAGAACCCAAGGACTACTACATTGTGGCTTCCACTAGGTTCACCAAAACTGTACTTACCTCTACAGCCACCATCCACTACACCAACGGAAATGGACCGGCCTCTCCAGAGCTTCCGGAAGCCCCCGTCGGTTGGGCCTGGTCCCTCAACCAGTTCCGGTCGTTCCGGTGGAATCTAACCGCCAGCGCCGCCCGCCCAAACCCCCAAGGTTCCTACCACTATGGAAAAATCAACATCACACGCACCATCAAGCTTGCTAACTCGGCGGGTATGGTAGATGGCAAGCTCCGGTATGCCATCAACGGTGTTTCGTACGTCGAATCAGTGACTCCGGTTAAGCTTGCTGAGTACTTTGGAGCTGCAGACAAGGTGTTCAAATATAACATTATTGGCGACGAACCACCGGCCGAGGCGAGTGACAAGATGACCCTTGCACCCATTGTGCTCAATGCAACTTTCCGGAACTTTGTGGAGATCATATTTGAGAATCCTGAGAAGAGCGTTCAGTCATGGCACTTGGCCGGATATTCTTTCTTCCCTGTCGGGTAAGCAAACATTTTTCTTCTCTTTCACTTATATTAGGGCAAATTATACTATATGACCCTCTCACTATCTCCCATGTCTCACATTCTCTCTTTATCTATCATGGTTCTCACATTATACATCTAATTATGGTTATTTATTTAATATTGATCCCTACATCCGAACTATGATTATTAATTTCATATTGCCTTAATTTCAAACGTTAAAAACACATATCTTAGTGCACTTTTTGACATTTTCAGTCTAAAAATTGTCGAATGTTTGGTTTCGGGGCAATATTCACATAGGTGGGCAGACAATGTGAGGAATTGGATAGTCGAAGGGCCAAAGTGAAATTAGCACATACTTCAGGTCAATGTATAATTTAGCCAAAAAGATTATTTTTTTATCTAAAACTCCTTACCAAATGATTTTTATCTATAATTCTCATGGAAAATACTATTTTTTTTTTAGTCATAGAAAATACTATTTGAATCTAATTTAGAGATCTAATTTAATACAACAATTGGATTGATAGTGGATTCCATCTAATATTGAAATTCACAATTAATACAATAATTACATTAAAACTATGTTATTAAGATTAAGTTCTTCAATTATGCCCTATAACATTGCTCAATTCTGATATGTTGTTGCTTTGGATACCCACTTACATGCAGCATCGAACCAGGAACGTGGAGCCCAGAAAAGAGGAAGAATTACAATCTTCTTGATGCTGTGAGTAGGAATACCATCCAAGTCTACCCAAAATCATGGGCAGCCATAATGACGACACTTGATAATGCTGGAATGTGGAACTTGAGATCAATGTCGTTGGAGAGACAGTATTTGGGGCAACAACTCTACATCAGCGTCCTCTCCCCGGCTCATTCTCTTCGGGATGAATATAACATTCCTGATAATGCTCCACTATGTGGTATTGTGAAGGACTTGCCCGTACCAACACCTTACAGTGTGTGATACACATCTCCGACAAATCTCTTTGTATTCGGCTCTAGGGAACCATGAAAACGAAAAGAAATCAAGAGAAAATATGACATACGGTAGCAATACATGTATGTTTTGGCATATTTAAGAAAGGGCAGATGTAGAGTAGACAATAAAGAGGTGGGATAAGGTATTGTGGTTGACAATTCATATACCAACCCTGTCGTCCCTACAAAAATGAGTTATTGTGGTTGACAATCTATGCACTAACCTTGTCCTCCCTCCAAAATGCCTCTAGAGATTTTTATAGCTTTTTTTTTAAGAAAAATTTAGGTTTTTTTTTAGTTTAATTCTTATTCTTTTTGAATGCTTCTGTTTAATTTTTGGATTATTCATTGTGAAGGTACCTTTTGATATATCTCTCTAATAGAAGGATGAACCATGTTTCTATTAAATACTTTTTCCTTAAATAGATAAATAAATGCAAATGACACAACATGAATGTAGATATAAAAAAATCACCCTTTTTAAGCGCGAACAACACTATGAATATCCTTTCAAATTCGTCTTTGAATTTTTATTTGTTGACACAAGTGGGTATATATAAGCATGTCCGCACATATTTTATACTTGAAATTGATCTTCCCAAGCACACCCCAACATCTACGCAGATTTGCTATACGATCAAGAATTGATAAATAATTTATCATTCAACATCCTTTGATAACCATAGCTTAGTCTTATGAATTTCCTGAAATTGTAAATGAAAAATGTGTATTCTAATTAATTGATTTGATTTTGAAAGAATTAAACCACTTCGATTACAGTGATTCCAAGAATTACCCATGTCAAGTCTTAGTTGTCTACGAGTAAGCAAGAAGATACATATCAATAATGTTTTCGAATTTCATCACTCAATTAGCCTGAATAACTCAATCATTGAAAAACCTTAGTTTGAGACAAAATCCCCTATTCAGGGATGAGACTCCCTCATTCGATCAAACCAGAGTAGACTACTCACTCATGCCGGAATTAAAATTGAAAGCAATTAAAGAAAGCATCATTATAAATGAAAGCAAGAAAACTTGAATTGACATTGCAAGAATTGAAATGCGATTCAAAGTAAATACCTTTTATTGAAATGCAATGAATGTAAATAGTTCACATGAAGAAACCAAAAGTACTTGTGTTGCAAGAATTAAATAACTTGAAATCAACAAAGCTTGTGAAACACGTGCAATTCCATGCCTTTAAACCAATTCACCTACAAACACACATATTCACTATAAAAAACAAAACTCAACTAAAACAAATGAATTAAGTAACTAGCATTCCAAAGATGAATGATATGAGGCCTATAGTATGCAATATTATTCTCTCATCACACCCCCCCCCCCAACTTAGGTTTTGCTAGTCCCGTAGCAAACTCAAAGAGAAACAAATGGAAAAACCCACCATCATACTTTAAATTCCAAAGCATAATCATAACATCACAAATATAATCAAATTGAAATGCATATGCTTAAAGAATTATGGCACACTCTTGGAATCAAAAAGTACTTCATGTGTATATATTTGCAATGTGCTTCTGGGTATAAAAAGAACAAAAATGTAATAGCTTTTTACCTATTGTTCTTCTACTAAGGCTACTACTCTCCAAAAGAACTTCCTAATATACTACTAAACCTATACACTAACTAGACAACAAAAGATGAAAAAGAAAACATAAAGGTAGAAAGGTAGGTCCATCAATCAATTAGAGGCATCCCCCTCCACATCACTACTCTCCCCCTCATCCTCCTTAGTAGTGCTATCCAATGCCATGCTAAGAGGTGTGGCAACAACAAGGTTCAGTCCTAATCTAGGAGTAGAAGTACAAATAGGTGCTACCATCCCTCTTGGAACTGTCTCTCTAAGGAAAGCACTCTCAAAAACCCTCCTCAATATCCCCATGCACAAGTCCATCTTGGACTCAATCCTCTCCCAAACTCTCCTAATCATCCTCATTTCACTCTCAACACCACCTAATCATTCCTCCAACTTGTTCACCCTTTGATTCATGGTGGCATGAGAGGTAGGGGCTGTCTCTGTGGTGGCTTTAGTAACAGTTGAAGGAGTGGCCTTCCTTTACCTTTGGAACCACTACCCCTCGACATTGTGGAGTTCTTCCTCTCCCCCACACTGCCAATAGAGACCAGTTTAGGAGGTATCATGGTGTCACATGCCAACCTCTTAACCCCCGCTCCTAGAAAGAGTTGGGTGATCATACTCCTAAAGGGGCATGGTCCCTTTCGGCCTACTAGTAGTGCAGTAGTCTATCAACATGCCCTAAATCATCAAGGCGACGATGATCCTCAACTCTGACAATAACTTGTAGAGTAGTACTACCTTTGGCATCCCTGGATGTTTCTCAAAGCCCTTGGGGTAAACATTATAGTGGAGGATTTTGTTTAGCATAGTAGCCATCAAAGTGGTCGTGTACAAAAGTACCCTTGAAATCCTCGGGGCTCTAGTACATCTCCTTGACATACTCAGAGGAATCCTTGGCAGCAAAAGTGATGTGGTGGTAGTCAATCTCAATGGGCTTTGACTCAATCTTAATTATACATTCAAGTATAAGCGGTCAAGTTGTAATATTACTCGGTTAAGTCTAAGGTCGAATCCACAGGGAATTATTTGTCTCGGAATTTAACGAAAATTGACTGGGTAACTAGATTTCGCAAGATGAATCCAACAACGACATCTATGTCATCATCCGAGTTCTAGAAAAATTAAAGTTTTCAACTCGTATCGTAGTGACAAATTACCGTTTTACCCTTTTCATAAAAATTCAAATTTACACGGGTTTTACAATCATATTCTCTATTCTCCATTTTCATTCTTTTCTATCTCAGGCTTATAATTACTTTGTCGTTCTTTTCTTTTCAAAAGTTCCTTTCACCATTATTCATTTTCTTCCCACACGTTTTTTCCTTCCTTTTCTTTTTTTCTTTCTTTCCAACCATATTTCTCCTTTTTCTTTTCCCGTATAATACCATCTTTAAGAGAGAGTGTAAGAAAATTAGATAGTAAGGGTTGGACAAATATATTTTCATTGGCTCGGTCAACCTGAGTTTAAGAAAGAAATTTTAGTTAGGCTTAATCACAGCTTACTATGGGTATCATTTTGCAAAAGAAATGGTCAAAGATCAAAATAAAATCACAAATGACCTAAGATCATTTTCCAGAACTCACAAGCCTGCTTGATTTTCATGAGAAATTTAATGGAGAATGCTAGAATTTAATTTAATCAGTGTTAATCAAAACAAGATTAATGAGCTTATTCAAAGAAATCTTACGCTGAACTGAAATTGTTACTTGAGTATGCACTTAAAATCTCTCCAAGGAGGATTGGTTCAAATCTACTCAAGGTTTTTACATCTCCACTACATATGTAAGATGTACAATGGATCATGTTATTTCAAAAGGTTTTTCAAAATAAGAAATCATTACGTGCTCAAAATAGTAAGTTTTTTTCCTGAAAATATAATGATAGTGCACAAATAGAGTATGAAAATCCCTCGTGATTCTATTAGGGTTATACCTGCAAGTCAAAAAAATGACAATATAATCCTATCATGAATAATTTGAACTAATTATTCTAAACTAACTGAAATTAAACCAACATCGAAAACATAAAATTAAATTCCCAAAAACATCCAAAGTACTTCACAAAACGCAATGCATGAACTAGAAAGTAAATAAGTGTCTGAGAAATGTAGAGAGTGAAAGTTAGAAAAATGTAGGAGATGCTAACTAAGTTGGCGATGACGGGCCACCACCATATCTCTTCCCAAGTAACCTCAGGATTTGTCTCTGGTTCTCTTCAGGCTGGATCATTCTTTCATCAAACAAAGTCATTCTTGTCACGAGACCCAATAAAATCTGCCTATCAATCCGATCATCCACTGGAATATACGGCTACTACACCTCCTAATAATTTTGGGTCTTTTCAAGTGGCAAGAAATCTACATCTCCTAGAAACTGGTTTGCTTGTGGCTCGGGTGGTATCTCTTGTTGTACTTGTGCCTAAATTCCATGGCTTTTTTTCAAAGAAGTCTTGTCAAGGGTTGCTAGATGTTGTACAATAGGCCATGACGGATCTGAAATCACTCCTTTTTATCTACACAATTTAGATACTACAATAGCAACAGGAAGTGAGGGTGTTTTATTTTTCATAGTCAGTATCATTTGATCCATAATCAAAGTAAGCAAGTCAATGGTATGTCCCATTCCAAAAGAGTACAGAAAATATGTTTTCTTAGTAAAGACTTGATTATTCTGGGATTGGGGCAGCAAATTATTCACAGTAATCAGGTTAAAAATTTGATATTTATTAGTTAAAGCTCCCTACTTAATGTATTTGTTAGGCTTACCTCAGACATATTCCAAATTTTCAATCAACTCAATCCCAAAATTAGACATACCAAATAGTGTAGTGAGAAGGTACTGGGATGAGGATGCCTAGGAATAGGGTTCAAATGATCAGCAATGGTAGATATAGTAACTTGAAATTTAATTTTCCTAGCATATAAAAGCAATTTCGTTCGCCCAGTTACTTCAGTATTACTATAAAATTTGCGCACCAAGCCTTCATAAGCCACGCCCAAACCATCCCCAAGCCGCTAATTTTTGTCCAACCCCAATGTGCTCAAAATTTTTGTAAATCACAGGCCTTTCTGAAATGATAGTTTTAGTTAAAAATTGAGTATCATACCAGATTCGTTGCTCAATATTCTTAAGCATATCATTATTAAATTGATTTTGAACATATTTTTGAAAAATTCTACTGCAACAGAAGACAAACTGATTTGATTCACGAACTAACAGGTTTTATAAGAGCCAGTACCATCTGGACGTCATCACCACCATCCAGATGGTGTTGGCTTCTTGTTTCTGGTAGGCATGGTAATTCCAGTAGTTCACCTTCCTAATTTCTAGTCGTTTTCTTGATTTTAATTACATTTCCTGCAGTCATAAATCTTCATATTAAT